TTTTTAACATATCGTGTTGCAGTGGGGGTTTTAAAAAAAATCAAAAAAGTTTAAATATTTCAAAAACGGTTAAATTTAGTTATAAGGTAGTCTGATAAAAACTTTCTCAAAAGCACTTGAGTAATCCAAAAAAGCCATAAAAACATAACTTTCTATTTAAAATAACGAAGTTGATACCCATTTCCGGTGTAACCGGAACTGCTGCCATCTTGAAAATATTTTCATTGGGCAGGATCTAAAAGAATTAGCTGGAACAGCCTGTATAGATGGTTCCACTTCCGGTTATACTGGAAGCGGATATCAAGTTTGTTATTTTAAATAGAAAGCTATGTTTTTTATTGCAGTTTTGGATAGCACAAGCTATGTTGAAGACATCTTATCGCTTTCCTTATACCAAAGTTTAGAGGACATTTTTGAAAATTTTTAATAGCTTGAAACCGTATTTTGTGCAGCTTTTTGACCTTTATCACCTTGTCAATCATTTTGGACTATTATAGTCAAATCATAATTATTTCTTGGTTTATAAAAAGTAGAGACCCCGGAAAATTTTTGTCCCCACCTCGGTCTCACCATTTCTCAGTCGGTATTAATTACCGTATCGGTTACGACGTCGGTAATTGGAGTGTGCGGTTACGAAATCCGCATAACTTGCCCGCAGACTCTCTCGTCGTAAAATCGTGCTGGTGCCTGCGCCACGGACGGCGTTTACAGTTCGTTGTGGCGCCACGAACCTGACCTTGCCGCCGGCAAACACCACAACACGTTTATCTCTCTCTTTGCCGATCTTTTGATCTCGACTTGGAGTACCCATTTCCCTCCAGTGGTTCCACATTCGAAAAGGAAAAGTACCCTCCACTTGACTATCCAAACACCAACAACACTATCTTATCACCTTGTCAATGACTTAATCTTGATCTTGTTTACGGAGGAATTCGAAGAATGAGATACGTCTTGTCTTGCCCAAACACGCCTTACAAAATCTAGCAGTGGAGGAAGTACCAAAAACATGTGTTGGGTTTCCAAAAACATGATTTTTGGATCTTTTACAACTTGATTCACAAAAGTTTCGACATTTCGCATTCTAGGAAGGACAAAATGTTCGTCGGAGGCGTAAACAGGTTTACGTATGAGTTTCGCCCTCAAAGGTTAACGTTTACGCACGTGGATTTTGCTGTTACTAAGAGGAGCGCCCTAGTTTATAGTCGCTATATAAGGGAGTGTGTTGCCAGTTTAAAAACATAAAAATCACCAGATCCAACTCGAAAAATTTGTCAAATTTTCACCAGTTTTCAGCTTACTTTTGACGAAAATCAAAAATGGCATGTTTTTCGGCCTAGTTCTGTGATTTTTCGGCTTGTTTTCAACGAAATAATTACGTTTCTAGCTGAAAAACGTGCTAAAACGCAGGAGAAATGCAAAAGTAATGTAATTCTAGATTTAATTTCTTGATTATTTAGTTTGTTTTACCAAATCTAGCGAATCTGAGATTTGTGTACAAAAAGGTGTCTTAAGGCATTTTCGGTTGTGGTTTCTCGACTTATTTTTGTCTTATTGTTCTCAAAAATCAGTTAAATCGAGTGAAACAAAACAATAACATCAATATCAATCCTTTTTGTAATTTTTGGGTGTGTAGACAGATAAATGAACCTCTGGACCTTTAGTTCCGAAATGAAGTAAGTCGGGCGAAATAAGTTAAAAAATGATATAAATTTCGATTTAATTTTGTTTCAATCCAGTATTTCGAACTTTTTGTGTTTTATGTCTAACAAAAAACATCCTTAAACACTCAAAAACGCCGTTTTTGGCTATTTTGTTGAATTTGTGGCATGCTTCTGACAAAATTTTGAAAAAGAATTGTGTTTCTAGTTGAAAAAGCATTCGAAAAAACAAATATAACTATTTTAAACCAATTTGGTGGTTTTCGATTATTTTTTCTTCGAGAAAATTTGATGAAATAATCAAGTTAAAGCCTAAGAGTTAGGTAAAAATATCATAATATCATATTTTTTATCGCAATTTAGTGATATTTGACACACTGTGGCAAACTCTCGTGTTTGGACAAGATTTTGCAAAATAAATGGATCTCTAGTTCAAAAACAAAGTAAATCGAGCGAAACAAGCTAAAAATAATGTCAGTTTTGATTTAATTTTGTAATTTTAATGCCTGCTTCAACCGTCGTCTCACTAGATGAAATTTAAAATTTAGAAAAAAAACTTACAGGAAGCAAATATAAAATTTCAAAAGTTGAATAAGCTGTACGAAAAAAAGCAAATACAGGAAAAAATTGACAATTACAATGCAAAGGACCTAGAACCAAGAGCTGTGTTTTTACTTGAGCAAATTTATAATTATTCCCTAAAAAACCCAAAATTGCCTGAAGTTACACTACGTTTTTGTATTGCCTGGAGGTACACTTCTCCAAAAGATTATGAATTTGCAAGAACTAGCCAGTTTTTAAAAGCTCCAACCAAAACAACTTTGAACAGATATATGGGAAATTCTCAAGGGGTTTTCTCAAAACAAATAAATAATAGAGAATAAATTAATACAGAATAAAATTAATCCTTGTGTTTTTTATTCGAAGTATTGAAGAGATAATAAAAGGGTTATTGTAATTTTCTTGTAAATTTGTACAAAAGTAAATTTTTGTATACAAAAATTTATCAAGGTTTCAAACCAAAGTATACAGATTCCATGGGAGCGCAGACTCGTCGCTCCCCCAACGGTCATTTTTTTTTTGCGTTGACTTTTTATTACTGTCATCAACGCGCAGACGACGCTTCAACAACTTTCTAGAATTTTCTCTGTTTTTATCTCAAAAACGTCTTAAACACTTGAAAAAGGCAAAAATAGCCCCGTTTTTGGTCGAATTAGTTTCAACTAAACTTCAGTTTAGATTGTTTTTAACGAAATTTTGCAAAATAGTTGTGTTTCTAGCTAAAAAAGTATACTATCCAGTCTAGTAAAATCTTATAAAAAAACAAACAAACTTATTTAACCAATTTTTTTGAAAAAATTTGACAAAATTACCAAGTTTCTGGTTGAAAATACTCAAAAAACAGTTTTTTCATTTCCAAAAAATCACCAGATATTAGAATTTTTACATGAAACATGAAAATGACCAGATCTGGTGAATTTCACCACACCTGGCAACACTGTAAGGGAGTTACTGTCTCTTTAAGCAAGAGGTAACAATAAAGTTTCAAGTCTGAATCGTAAATTAATTGAAATTCAAAAAATGAGGACGTGCATGGTGATTCCCCCCGTTTTCCCTCGCCATCAAAATATTATTGTAGCTTCGCTAATTCGATTAGATAAACATTCGTGTTTGCTTTTGTTCGGTTTTATCTGTTTGGTTTTCCGCAGAATTCTAAAAAAGACAGTCGGGTTTTATCGTGCCTTTTAATGTCAACCAATTTATTAAAAAACCCAGAGAGAGAGGTGAAAAATGATAAGAGGTGGATTTAACTCGAGCAAACATTTTGACCCACTTTGGACACATAATTGTTTTTATCATTAGATAGACTTGCAACTAATTTGTTAATGATGTTAAATTAGAACAGAGTGTCTTTGGTGAAAGCACAAGGGGGAGAAATTGGAAGTAAGTCTATCGGGAAGTGTTTACATATAATTAAATGTTGTCAGGGTTAACGGCTGTCTTGTTAAAGGCAATTAAAATCGATCTAAGTGTTCACAAATGTCAAAGTTTAAAAACTCAAGAGGTTATCAAGCAGGAAATCCACTTTCCTGAATATACGGAAAATCCGAATGTTGCGTGTTAGTCCCTTTTTAATCAAATATCCAAATCCCATTCAAGACAAGAAAGTTTCTCAGCTGTGTTATGAATACAAAATGTAAAAGGATTTCATTCAATTTTTAATAATTCACAACGACAAAGCTACAAAATCCATATGCAAAACAACAAAAGAGTTCGCATTGAGCACAAAAATAATAATAATAAACAATGAAAAGTATTTTTTTAACTCAAAAATGAAAAATAGTAGATTATAGCATGAAGAGTAGAAGTGAGTCTTTTTGTGCTAAGCACAGAGATTGAAGACCGAGCGAAGCGAGGCCGAAAAGACCTCTGAATGATATATACTATTTTATCTTCAAGAGGATCGCAAAAAAATGGAAATTTGGACTTACTTCTACTTTTTAACGTTGCTATTTTCTATTTTAATTTATCGTTTTTTCGAATTGTAACCAAAATTTATTCTATTTAAAGAAGATAAAAGTAGTTTTTAACCAGACCATTGAAGTGAGAGAAATCAGAACCAATTTGGAAAAATTCGCGACCTTCACTACCATTTTTCTTCTTTCACAAAGGTGATGGTCCTAATTTCTAACCACATTTACTTTCTAATGATCATGATTTCGGCAATCTTCAAAAAAACTTACAAGAGCTGGACTTGAACTTGAACCACAGTTTTCGCATTGCATGCACGATGAAACTAACATGTCCCTTCAATTTGCTTAATTAGTTTTCATAATTTTCCTTATAATGAAGACAATGAACGAAAAATAGCATTCTCTCCACCGACTCATTTATCAAAAAGCACCTTCGTGTCCTAGGCAAAACACGCAAGTGCAAGTCAATGCTGTTTGCGCTTCTAATAATATCCATGGCATGAGGACGCAAAGCTATTAATTATTTTTGTGTTATGAGAAAATAGAAATGTTCAGTAGACAGGCATTTTGTACGGTAACAAAATAAAAAACGATAAATAATTGTTTGAGTCGTTTCGTGATTTATATTTTAATACGAGATGACTTTCTAGCGGATTACAAAGAAAATTAAGACCCTTTTGTGGACATTTTCATTAATTTAAACCCTCGTTAAAACCATTCAGGACTCTCAAAGAGTTTTGTTCGGTTTGTTTTGATGAAAAAAAAATTAGATTATTGTTATTGTGATTACTTTTTGTGTAACCTTGAACTTATCAAACAACTCAAACATCATTAGAGAATAATTCTCGGAAAAAATAAAACACAAACGTTGAAATATGACGGTATATTAGTAAAAAATGCAGTCACGAGCCTTTCACAATAAAGTCCAAAAAACTGTTAATCAGCCCATTTTCGGAGAACTGTAGCACATTCGAGTCAAAAAAGTCCAAATTGAGATTCCCTTGACGAGGATCCAGATTAGCATAAGCCGAATTGTGCCCAAAAGGCTCCGAAATCGTTGCTAAATTAGCCTTCTCCTGTGCATCGTTTGAAATTCTAGTACGTTGCAAATTTTGACAAATTTTGGAAAAACTTCTGCTCACTTTCATCCCTTGGTAGTGCAACCATCGCCATTCGTCCTGTGAACGGCCACAATATTCATCCATTGTTACCAAATTTTGATAAGATTTAGGCACATTTCGATACTTGTTGTTAAAGTAAACTTTTTCGGTGTCAATTTTTGGATGAAACTTCGGACGTGATAAAACACAGCTGTTTCCTTTGACTCGACTTGTGAGTATTCTCGCCCGATCTTGACATTTTTTCACATAGCGTCTATAATCGGATTTCGAGGGGAAATGTCTGGGCATAACCCGAAATTTTTGACACACGAATTTACACCGACAACAGCCTAAAACGTAAGTGTGGAAACCGGCATTTTTTGACGGTTGCCACTGGAATTTTCATTTTTTTTTTTAATTTAATTTATCCAAATTGAACAATGTTTAATATTCCCACGACCGGAGGCGCGCCTCTGACCCGGAAGATACCCACGACGTCCGGTCTTGGCGAGACGGTCGCCACCTGGGAGTTCAAAAGTTTCAAACAACCAAAACGCAACACAAACTTATGTTTACTACACTCAAAAAGTGCAAAAAAAGTATAAAACCGCAACATTTTAGTAGTTGTTTGGTGACGAAATTTTGAAAAAATTCGTTATTACGAATATGGAGTGTATAAAATCACTTTTTGTCATTTGCCTCCACTTTAATTCTCTAATAGACATTAGATCTTACTAATCAAAAAAACGTCACAAAAATTATTGTTTAAACGGCATAAAGAGAGCAAATTACAAAAAATAGGATAAAAAACTTTCCCTTGAGGCACTCGTTTTTCAAACTTGAATTCGTGCTTCAAGACTTGAAACTTGTTTTTTAATTTACTATTAAGTCGGCACCCATGCATCCAGCAAAAACAGAATTTGCTGATCTCTTGCCAAATGGAATGAAGTTTTCTCTGTGATTCTTTTAAAATCGAATTGGCACTTCTGCAATAGTGACTTTTATCATAATTTAAAATAATGTTGGGACAATTCCAAGAATTTCGGATTCAGTAAAAGCTTTGTTCGTCGAAACTTTCTCAGTTGTATAAATTGAGACCAACAAAAACAACTTCAAATGAAAGTGTAGTTACATACGTGGTACTTCAGTAACACACAATTATTACGTTTTATCAACGTTAAAACAAATCACTGATATGGTATCTCGTTGATCATGAGTGCTTGTTAAAATTGTTTTTTTTTTATGTCAAAAAGATACCACAACAATACAAGCTGATAAAAATCAGAGAAATTAGTTTCATATTGTGAGGAATTCTTTACGATAAAGCTAAATCGAAAACTGCTAAGATAATTTGCTACCCGGAGATGAAAACAACAGGAAACAAAGTAGAACATGATGGAAAATCCTAAAAGAAAGGAGAATTAGGTTCGCTGCAGGACTTGTTTTTCCGGTGCGTTTTCCTGCTGTGGTAGAATTTCCCAATTGAAATCGCAGTTTTAACAAATTTTCTATTGCAAATGGTGGTAAAACTACAGGGTATTAAAAATGTATAAAAATTTATTATTATCTTATTCAAAAAAAGTGAAATTACAATTTAATAGAAAAATAAATTGTGGAATACGATAGTAGAATTTGTCGTATTTAAAAAAAAAGTAAAAAAAGCAATAGCAGTTTTGAATTTTTATTTAGAAATGAAACTATATCTTATTTAATACTCCTAATTATTATTTTACCAAAAATAATAATTTATTTACGTCTATTTTCTTGCATTGTCCAATTTCATGTTTAACATAATAAAACATAATCTTATAACTTATAAGTATTGAAAATAAAAACCCATTTAGTCTAAAATTAACGAAGAAAAATGAATTAATAAAAAATAATAAATAAAGTGAACAAATTAAAATAATTTTAAAATTTGATCATTTTTAGCTAAGACTCTGTATAAGAAAAATAATATGAAAATTATACCAAATAATAGAGAAAAATCCTATTTATGCTTGCTGAAAAATTTATGTGACAAGAATATTTAGCTTTATTTGTTTTCAAAATCTTAGCTTTTTAATATTGCTTTCTTATATTTTAACTAAAATTACTCTTTAAAATAAAAAAAAAGTAATAAAACAAGTGAAATTTGATATGTTTTGGTGGTTTTTAACAAAATTATTAATTATTGTGAAGTAAATCTTTATAAATTTAAGGTTTTTACGGTGTGTTACATTAAAAAAAAACAAAGTTAGGACTATTTGCGCATTGTGAGAACTTTTAGATAACAAAAAATTATAAAAATTATATTATTACCAATATTCACATATTTGCTCTTGTAATACCAAAAATGCTGTAAAAATTTAGGATCACAGACAGCATTTGCACAAAAAATTGTTCAGAAAAGACTTTTTCCGTGAGAGTTGAAAGGTTTGACCCTTAATATATTAAAAAGCAAAGCTTCTAATTATATAGAACTCGCGCTCCAGAGAAAAATGCCAAGTAAAACAAGATGGAAAAAATGTGTAAAAAATTTCCGTCAATAAATTTTGACATTTGATTTTTTCGCTAAAAAGTATGGTTACAGTTAAATATTAAAGAAACTATTTATTAAAACTTATTGAAGTTTGCTATATGTTTAAAAGTATTTAAATTACATTATCTCAAATGTTTATCAAACTTCGATCCATTTGTTCTGAAAATACAAAGTTAACTTAATTTTTTTTAAATAGCAAGAGAAGTCAAATTTAATATTTTTAAGAAGAGCATTTTTTCTAGGATGTAACACATGCATACCTTATTTTCAAAAAAAAAATTATCGTACTAATTAAATTTTGAAAAATGTATTTTTTTCAGCCTTAAAAATGTTGTCTTTATCTATCGTTATCTCTTTGCCGCTTGAACTTTGGTCAAAAAATAAGTAAACTGTTTCAAAAATTTCAACGTACTCTGCTAAAATATTTAGCTTTATCCATACTTTTTAGCGATCCTGTATGTTTTTTTTTTATAATTGTTGAGTAAAGGTACAAAAATCTTAGCTTACTTTACATTTTTCTCTGGGGTGCGAGTTTTAAACCACCTGTATACCAGAACTCGCGCCCCAGAGAAAAATGCCATATAAGGTAAGATACCAGGAACATGAAAAAAATGTTAAAAAAATTTTATCTATAAAAATTTCGAAGTTATGAGGGTTTAAAGTTTGCACTTTGACTCTATTTATTTCTGTTGGAAAAATAATTTTCCAAGTTTTTTTTGCTATAGGCTATTAAAAGAGGAAACAAAAAAGCTGTATCCTAAATTGTAACTCTGTTCAATGTTATTTGTGGTTTTTATTGGCAAATTTTTTGTCCCTTTACTAAATAATTGTAAAAAAACATATACAAGATCATCAGTATCATTAAATAGATATAAAAAAAAATGTCAAATGTCAAAAAATAAATGTCAAAATTTTTTGACAGATAGAATTTGAACTTGAAAATTTTCTCTGGGGCGCGCGTTCTGGCGCACCCTGTATAAAAAAATTCTAGAGCCGCAAACACATGTGCTAGTAAACACATTTTTGTAATAAGATAAGGTATGAAAAGTTGGTAAACAAAACCGAAAATGGGGTTTTCAGCTTTTTGGAGTCAATTTGTATTCCGTCGTGTCAACGTCAACAAATTGTACAAACAATAGCCCGTTTTGTTGTCTGAGTTGTGTGACTCAAAGATATTTTACTATTTAATTTTTTATTTGAAATATATTTTGCTGTCTAGACTCGCATGGACGGAAGGGTTAATTTAGCTGCAAGTCATCCGGTCGAGAAATCATCGTTTACAGTTTCCTACAATGACGGTATGCCCGGCGCCCCCGCATGTTTACATTTAAACAATTGCTGTGTAATTCGCCTCGATTACAGTTACGTCACGAATGTTTTTAATTACAGATCCGGACAAGCTTTCCGTTTCCTTTTTAGCAAACGACAATATACAGCATGGTCGGCGAGACCACCCATGTTTTCCACCCACGATCACTTTTATGAATGAACATCCAAATCAGTTATAGTTCATTCACCCAAATCAAACTTTCATTTTTTGACGCCAGTGACTTTCAAACTAGACTCACCTGTTTTCCGACGCGAAGCCCACAGGACCGGGGGCGAAGCACTACCACTCGGAAGAGCCAGTTTGCTTGTGATGTCGGGCTCTGAAACGGAGTTTTTTCAATGTCAGACAAATATTTATTTCATTAAATGCACCAGATGGTAGGTACACAAAAATACAATTAAACGACTTTTACAAGATTTTATACGAGCTCGTTGCTATCAAATCTACGGTTTCCATACAGTTGCAATGGTAAATTCCGCTCACATAGACTAAATATATGGAAAGTGCTGCGATTTAATACCTCCCAAAAGAGCACTAATCCTTCCAAAGCGGTGATTTTTAAATATTTAACACTGTTTTTAGCCCCTTAGGACGCATTTGAGGCAAAATCAAAGAGAATATCTACGCAGGTGTGTGCTGCATTTATAATCAAGTTTTAAAAAATTCCCAAAGCGTCAAAACCCTTTTTTTCCTCAATTCAATCAAAAAACTCTTCTCGCTTATTGTTAAAAAAGATATCAACACCACAACACCCCAATTTTATTCAAAATTAACTACACAATGGAGCTAAAGTGATAAAAAACATATTTCAAAAACATCTTGCCAGAATTATTTATTTATAACTTGCCCACGAAAAGATAGCTTTAAAATCTATCATTTGCAATTTTTCAAAATGTTTTTTTTTTCTACGTCTAAATCTAGCATCTGCATATCTTATTATTGATAAAAACCGCCAAATTAATCTTTTAAAATAGTCCAAAAAAGTAAAAATTTTCTTTAAAAAAATTACCGTTTTTCCTAAAACTTGTGATGGTGACGAGAGCGACAAACTTATTATTAGAGAGAGCTTTCGTAAAGATGAATCAATAAAAATAAAATACATAGCAAAACACATACCAGGTGAATAAAAAGTATGGAACCAAACGTTTTTTGCTTAAACTATTATTTTTTGAAAAAACTAATTGATGAGTGATAAAGTACTATAAAAATGTGATGAATTAACAAGAATATTTTTTTTCGAAATTACCTTTTGTTTTGAGTTCTACAAAAAAATTTATTTTTTTAAATGGCAACCCACTATAAAATCATTTTTCTCATAAATGCTATACTCTAAGGATTACAACTATCTGCTTTATATTTAATTTTTTCAAAAATTTTTTTTTACATAAATTGCAATTTTGACAAAACAAAATCGCATAACTCAAAAACAAAACAAAATTTCGTTCTGAAAATACGATCACATTTTTTATATTACTTTAATTTATATTAATTATTATTTTCTGGAGGCAAATGATTAAAAATAAAAGCGCTTGGTTCCATACTTTATATTACCCTGTACATAAACAAAAAATTGAGAAATTGTTTCAATTTTTACACTTTTTTGGTTTGTTTTAATAAACTGCTTCACTTGAAGTTTTTTTTTTCATTAGTATATTTTTAGTGACTTTTTTAACAGTTTTCTTAAAAATGCTTCATATATAGAGGTTATCTAAAGATTTGTCTTACCTTAGTTAGTTTTGAAATTTCTCGCACACATCTAAATTTTGTATTAATTGGGTAAAACTGACTTTTCTGAGCAAAAAATCATCAACATTATATAAGTAATTTACAATTAAAATTTCATGATATTTCTTTTTACAAACACATATCAGTAAGTTACAAAATTCAGCTGGCAGCATATTATAAAACTTAATACAGTGGTATCTTGGTCCAGTTTGGTTTCGTTTTAAACTACATATTAAATAAATTAAATATTAATTGAACACATGTACAAAAAAAAATCATTTTTAAAAGTAGACAAATCGAAACATGAAATAAAAAACAATTTTTTATATACGCTCCCGAAAACAACTATTTTACGGACTCATTTAAGTCTCTAAGAGCTTTTTTCGGACTTTTACCATTATTTTTCGAATAATAGGAGGTTTGAATTCGTTTTTTTGGAAGCTTTAACAAAAAAAAGTTTGCAATACGTTCTTAAAGTTTTTGCGGACTGATCTGCTCAACAGGAACGATTCGTCCGCAAAAACTGTATTTCAGGTACTTGAACAAAAATAATTATTTTACTCGGATTTATTCATTGTTCTACAATTACTTGTAGTTTTTTTATTTTTTTTAAGTTGAAATTGTACTTGGATGAAATTCTTGGCGTATAGTTGTAACATTAGCCTGATCCCATTAATAAGCAACGGGAACTGGTGCTATAAATCAGGGTAGTCGCAAGATTTCGTTGAATTATGACCGAGATTAATTGCTAATTAATTTTAATTAAAAACAACTATAATTAGCTCTCAGCTTGGTAGTTTCATTTTACACTCAATTATCCACAATATCCTCGCTTTTCGACACTTCCAATAAACCCCAAAAATCCTTTTATCCGTTTTGAAAATCACATTTCATCTTATTCTCTTAATTAATTGTTTTAAAACCGCCTTTCTCATAAATCATTTAATTCAAGTTTAGCAGACGTGCAATTCTTCATTCGTTTTAATTCAATTAAAACATGAAATGAATCATGGATGTTACACAATAATCAACTTAATTCAAGTAAAACTAAGTCAGAGGTCCTTTTTCGATGACTCACGACCGAATAGGACACGCGTTTCGACATCTGGCAACTAGCCAAATGCACGAAAAGCACGGCTAAAGCTGCCAACACTGAAAGCGTTCAAGGTCGGATATACAGCGTGGCCCATAGAAGACGCCTGTAACAATTTACAAAACCTATAACTCTATCATTTTGACAATAATATCAATTAGAATACAAGTCTAAAAGACTTAATGTAATGTTTCTGGTGTATGTATATTTTTGCTGATGTGATATAGACCGAAACCTTCTTGTCTGGGTCACCCTGTGAGAGGGAGTCGATTCTCGACTTTATCACAGGTCATTTGAAAATCAATCGATTGTGCCTCAAAGCCACTTCCTCGATGTTTGATTATCTCTGAGGTGAAATACGAATCTGGCGGTGTCGGCGAGGTTGTTGTAACCGGTATGCAACGGTCGTCGACTTTGCTGTAGCCAAACAAACAAAAACGACACCTCAACATAAGCATTGTACAGATTCGAGGTCCTCCGAGTGTTGATCTTTCTCGGGGAGGTTCCAACAGTGTCACCCCCTGATTGATGTGATGCTCACCCTTTCGAATCACCTTCCATTACGGACGTGTCAGCATAATCGATTATTGCGTACTCGAAATGTTTAGAATCTTAAGTAATGGAGACTATTTAGATAAGAACACCACTAATTGTTGATAACGTCGTTATCGGCACTGTGTTCAAGGCCACACGTTGGGTATTAACACTATTCAAATTTGGCGCCCACTTGTCAACACCAAATTACCGATAAAACAGTTTGACTTATTACCAATCAATCACATCACAACACTAATTCATTTGAAAACACAAGTCATCAAGTGAGCCACGAAATGAATCGACATTACATAACCTCAAAAAATTCCGATTTAACAAAAAACGCGAAAACACCAACATCCAGCGTTAATTGCAAAACTCAAATTGGGTTAAAACAAAACCGAGTTTCATTCATTCGAGTTTGAACACATTGAAACGTGTATTTTTCGTACACGAGAGCGCACGCGTCTTCGATAAATGATTATTTTTGGCTTTTGACAGGCTGTCAAAAAAATTAAACAAATAAACCCAAGCAACTATGACTCATTTCGAAAACATGTGGATAATTATCGGGATAATTGGGTTATCAGGGGGCAAAGGGTTAATCAAATTTTGTGAGGTCGGAGGCAATAAATTCATCCAAGGATCGAGAACACTGCAGTGATTTGGGCCGGGGGCCGCATCCGACGCCATCTCATGACGCGCCGCGCAAACATCTAATGGAATCTGCAGAAATCACAATTTGCAAAGTTTTTTGAAAACTATCCGGCGCATCCACCATATGACCAACTTCATAAAAATACACTGCACTAATCTATATTAACACCCAAATGAGTGAAGAAAAATTTTTTTTGCAAAATATGCAACAAAATTTTGAGGAATATTTCCGCGTGGTTGTATTTTATTTATACTTATGACAGCAGTGTAATTTAAATTTTATCAAGGTATATTGATGTTCCCAGTGCGATTAATGTTTCATTAAATTTAATCGGAGTGATGTCACGTCGTTTATCATTTACCTACACAAGTATAAACATGATTACGTATTATTAAACGAATAACAAACATCAAGCAAGGTGTAGAAATTTATCACAAGGTAGAGAAGAGACTTTTTATTACCCGAGATACGTAGCATCGAGGGAAATAATAAATGCGAGGCTATAAAAATCTTCTCTTCCGTGTTTTGTATAACATTTTTTTACTACTAGCACATTTATTACCCCAGTGAAAAATATAACCTTACATGTTGCCTCAGACGTAACAAGTCGTAATTCACGACTATTATTTTTGTTAATTCACTATTACCTTCAGTAATTAATTTCTTATCTGAGTTAGATATTAACTTAAAGTATTTTTTTATTCTTATCGTAAATGAGGTTATGTCATTTTTGTACTTCTGTATCTATCTATTAAAAAAAATTTCTAACTTCAAAATATAAAATCTTTGTTAAAATAACATAGACACTGTAAGGAAAAGTGAAAAAGTGTTAAAACTTGCCCTGCTACCCGTGGAATTTCATTTGTTGTTTTGACAGTTTTGACAATTGACAAAGACAGAAGAATTAGAGGTGAGGTTATTTTGATTTTTTAATGAGAAAGTTCGACTCTTTTTTCATTTCGAAATTCACCCATCTCTAATCCATTATTGCCCTTGGTGAATAATGAAAATGATTATTGAAAACTAGAGCAACAATTCACTGGCACAATAATAGATTGTTGTCTATTTGACAATGGTAACATTTCATTGTTAGCAAACGTCGGAAGTGCGGAAACGCCGACGTCGTGGTGTACGCCGCGACGCCGTATAGTGAAAACGTTTCCTAGGCAACCGCCGTTTCCGACGTCACACAGCGTCTAAAACACCGGAACTAATCGGGGAGATTCACCCGAACACGAGAAAAATACAACTCTTATATTTATGTCAAGTACAGGGTGTCTCATGTAAAACTAGACACTCTGTATTGTTT